TTTGCAGCTTGGCCTAAGGCTTTACCCCAGGCCGGGAGCTCTGCAAGGGTGTTGGGACTGTGGAAGAAGCTGCTGGGGACTGCATGGGTGGAGGGGTCCCTGGGAGGTGAGATGATGTCCCAGGGACCAGCATCCACGTGGGAAAGACTGACTCACTCCCCAGCACCATGGCTGTAGGAAACGAACCTCCGAGGAAGAGGAGCTGGGAAGGACGGGGCGAAGAGTGTGATCCCAGGCCTCGGGAAGGTGGGATGCCTGTCTCCTCCAAAGCCAGAGCTGGGGGTCCACCTATATCACCCCACCTCCCATCACCAGCCGCGCGAAGCCCGTTCCCTCATCAGCCACCCCATCCCCTCGCCGGGCCAGGAGAACGGCGCTGCCCTTTGTACGAGGTGCCGATGTCAGGCACGTCCCATAGCCGTGGTATACGGCACATGAATCATTCACAGAGCTGGGGAATTAATTATTCATCCAAACGAAAGACTAAACAGTTTAGTAATTGTCCTGGAAGGAAAGAGCTGGGAAGAGGGTGGGAGATGGGGCAGACATCAGGTTGGAGACGAGGTCCAAGAAACAGAAGGGAAGAGGAAAAAAGTCTTGTCTAGTGTGATCAAAGCATTGCTCTGCTTTTGGACTCGAGGTTGTCTTTTTACTCATCTGCGTTATAGGACAAGACCCCTTGCATGCTCCTGCAGAGTCCTCGCAGTGTACAGGCTCCAGCGGAATAAACCCACTGGGACGCTGCACTTGTGCTCCAAGCCTCGTATCCACCCCCAACCTTCCCCTGCTTGGACATGCCCCATAACAGGCTGCTGGGTGCCGACATTCCAAACCACACGTGAATGCAGCAGATGAATATTCCCCACACAGGGCTTGTTCCAGCACCAGTTCAATGACCCACCCCCCCATCTCTAGACCTCTGAGACCAAAAATACCAGCTCAGACAGGCAGAGCTTGGGTTGCAGAAGGTGCACTGAATACCAGAGGGCAAAGCATCCTCGCCTCCGCCACGGGAGAGCTCAGGGGAATGGCGAAAGGGTCGCTGGGCACTTCCCAGGGTGGTCGTCCCAAAATCCAGGCAACAACCTGCCCTCCTGGTCACCACGCTCACATTGCAACCCCGCAACAAAGAGGAAAGCGGCGTCCGAGGAATCGCTCTCCTCTGCCTCACCCCAGCCATGGCTGAAAATCAGGGCATGGGGTAGAGGCTGGGCTCACGACTGCCTCTTTCCTTTGCAGGGAGAGGACTTTGGTTTTTGGGACAGCCGTCTGGGCTTGGAGAGCAGGGCTTTCCTCCACCAGCATGGGCTGGTGCCCATCTGGTCATCTCCAGGTTTGCTGAAGGCGTGGCAGGCACCACCGGCGATCATTCATTCCTGCCTTCCCTTGGCCACGCTCCACCCCACAAAACCCCATAATGAAAACCACAGTGCCCAGGGGCTTCACAAAAGGCATTCAGGTGTAGCGGCTGGTTTTAAAACCTCCCAAAAAACCTGACAACCGCTCCTCCCCTTACTTGCCTTGTATTTATCCTGGTTTTACAGCTGCTGCTTCCCCAGCTCCTGAGCAGCACAACTTCACAAGGGCCTTTTGATTTCCATTTTGATTTCCCCCCCCCATTGTTAGAAGCATTCCCGCACCCCTTCACCTCTCACATAAGTGTTATTGTGTTACAGCTGCAACCGCTATAAAAAAAAGCCAGCACGGTGCTATGATGCTCAGGCATTGGAGTGTGTGAAGCACACACCCACCTGGGTATTTGCAGAGGGAGTTTAACCCTTCTCTGTCCATGAGCTGCTTCAAATACGGTGTAGGACAAGGCAGGCTGGTGTAGGGTCCTCGTTCTCTGTTTGTTACGCTAACGGTACCCAGGGAGCAGGGAGCTGATCCCCCAGCCGCTGCTGGCTGAAGGTACTTCAACATCTCTCCCTTTGGACCACCGATTAAGAGGTGGCTGAGCTCCCGCTGCCCTTTCTGACCATTTCTGACCAGTTTTCCCCTTTTTTGCTCCAGGGCGCACTGCATTGAGCAGGTCACAAGCCCAGCTTCAGCACCCAGCCAGGTCTGGCTCATGGATGCGCAAGGCGAGCATCCCCTGGCCCCAGGGGAAACACAGACGTTCCCCTCCCCTCCCCGGCGCTGCCTCAGAAGGAGAAGAAGGTATTTTATGCACGTTTTCGGAGAAAAGTATTTTTAGCTGGGGGAGAACAGGCTGTTTTTTTCAGGCGGCAACCACAGCTTATAAACAGAGCTGGTTTACAAATGTGACTATTAGTTCCCCAATGGAAGCTTTAGCATCAGGGAGTTTTAGGTGGGCGTTGACTTCCACCGAGATGAAAAAACGTGGATTTATTGACACAAGAAGCAAACATCAGTTGAACCCAAGTCAGTGCCATCCATTCCTGCACAGGGTCCCAGGCGGCAGCAGCCCCTCGTTAGGCTAATTCACACCAGGGAGAGCATGGTGTGAGGATATCCCAATGCTCATGGAAACCCCACCACAGCGTCTGGAGCCGTGATGCCACCTGCATTAAGCAGCAAGTCCAGAAAGGAAGAGTAATACCCTGCGTCACCCTTGTAGGTACAAGGGCCAGCAAACATGATGCTGGGTCCTTCTGGGTCCATCAGGGGTGGATCCTGCTCACATGGATACCCTCTCTGGTCTGCCATCACGGGATGCATCAGCATCCCAAACCAGTCCACACAACCTCTGACGCTCACAACACCCCCTCCGCCCCAGCCACTGCTTCTTGCTAAGTTGCAAAAAGATCCCAATGACCATTAATTCTCCTGAGCTCAATAGCCTCTGTGCAGACACTCACATATTAATCAAGGGTAAATTTTTAGTCCACAAAGACGATCCTGAACCCGCCAGTCGCCCGCACACGTCCCCCGTGCAGACTTCACCACCCACCTTACGCAACCAACACAGTGCGAACCGCCAAGTGCAAACCCTCTCCCGCAAGCTGTTTGCAAGTCATTTGCAGCCGAGGATTATTTGCTGAAGAAATTTGCCAATAATTCAGCAGATCAAACAGGCAAGAGTTTCACGCTAGGGAGACGTAACCACAGCGCTGAAGAACAGCAGCTTTGCCAGCACCGCACGGCGAAAGCAAGGACTGAACAGCACAGAGGAGCCCATGACCTGGTCCAGTCGATTCCCCAGTAACCCCATCCTCCCCAAAACTGGTCACAGAATCACAGAATGGTAGGGGTTGGAAGGGACCTCTGTGGGTCATCTAGTCCAACCGTCCTGCCGAAGCAGGGTCACCTACAGCAGGCAAAGTCCAAGATGAAAAGCTGTGGTTTGTCTCCCCTACCCATCATACAACGGAATTTGCACTGAAAGCCCGGTGAGCCCATGCCAGCAGGCGCTGGCACCGCTGGACCAAAGCCGGCGGGTCACCGGACATTACTTGGAGAGGGTTTCATCCTGCTGGAGCAAGCATCAGGATGCAAGGGGGATGACGGGGGTGAAGCAGACCCCAGGGGGCTGTGCCCTGTCACCAGCAGTGTCGGGGGGACCCGGGCATCTCCCGGCAGGGCGGCCAGCACAGCACTAAGCCCTTCACGGACAATTGATTCCCTGGCACAAGGCCCGGCGCAGCACTGGAAGGAGCTGGCGAGGCTTTCGCGAGTGAGTAATTGCTGAGCGCTGACTCAGCACCGGCTCTGTTACAGTCAGCTCACCCGGAGCCGCGGGGAGGGCAGGGAGAGGTCCATGGCAAACCCTCCCCGCCCCAGCCCAGTGCTTCCCCTTGGCCCTGGCCCCACAGGATGCCCGGGCCAGGAGACGGCCGATGGGCATTTCCTGGCCGCTTTCTGTGTGCTCAGACCAGCACCGCAGCTGCACACTGAGGCTGTGACATCCCCTCTTGTTGCTACCAGGGGTCACACATCCCACACTGTCCCCAGAGACATGACCACCTTTGCCCAGCCCAGGAGCTGTGCCTGGCCGCTCTCCCCGCAGCAGAGAGCCCGCCTGGCCACAGAGCCCTCCCCTGAGAGTCACTTCACAGATGCAGAAGTACCAGCAGCATCCTGTGAGATGGCTGCACCGCCCACAGGCAGCCCACTTGCTGCCCACCGAGAAGCATCACCCCACCACCAGCACACCGAGACAGCCCGCCTTCACGGGCAGAGACAGTCCCACTCCCTAGCAAGGCCATTCAGGTCTGTATTAGACCAAGGGACTCAAAACCATGCTCTCCTCAAGCCTTCTTTCAAGCACAGTCCCACCCTGCACCTCTCCACCGTGGACAAACAGCACCTATCACCACGTCCTTGGCAGCGCCAGGCTCAGCATCTCCCTTCCTCCTCCGAACACCCAAACGGGTGTCATGTTCCACGTGGTGCCACCACCCTGCAAGCCAAAAGACAGGACTGTGCAGCAAGCAACTCGGGAGGGACCCCAGGTATCTCGCCTGGCTCCTGCGCCTCAGTTTCCCAGCTAGGTCTGCAGCTCCTCAGCACCCAACCGAGCTCATGAAGTGCTGGGAGATCCACAGGCACCATTTGTTTGTACGCATCCAACCACCTCCTCTGAACATGGTGCTTCCATCGGCATGTGAAATGCAACAGCCACCATCCAGGCACTCCTTTCCCGGGCCCCCTCGGTGGCTGCAGGCACCCACCTGCCCTCCACAGAGCAAGGGGCAGGGGGGGACACCCCGGGAGGCTTCTGCTCAAGCCAACCGCCACCGTCGGCTAGCACAAGCCCAGATATCCCTGTTCATTTCTATGTCATCAGCGCAGCCTATCACAACACATGCAGGACTCAAATGTGGGCCACGTCCCCGGCAGGTGACACCACCAGTGACACAACCAGCACCTGTAAAGCTCTGTGCACTACCACCCCCAGCATCACTGGGATGAAGAAATACCACTGACAACAGCAAACCAGGGCCTTGCCCCGTGTCCTAGAGCTCATGTCCCCACCAGGTCAAGCCTCCATGCCCAGCTGCCCAATCCCACCCACAGCCCTGCACTGTCCGACTCACCCGCTGAGGACCACGATGAAGTCCATGACATTCCAGCCGTTGCGCAGGTACGAGCCCTTGTGGAATACGAACCCCAGAGCCACGATCTTAATCCCAGCCTCGAAGCAGAAAATCCCGATGAAGTAGGGCTCCGTCTTCTCCTGCCGGAGGTGAACCGGTGACACAGTGAGAGGGGGAGATGGAGCAAACGCAGCACCAGCCATTCCACATTTACCCAACTCATGTCCCATCCTACCTTTCCCAGCCCCATCCACCCCTTTGGGAGCTCTCCCTGCCCTTCCTCAGCCTGCATCAACCTTGGAAACAAAAAGTAGGTGGTACGACCCACTCAAGTTGCCCAGTCCTCCTTCCTTACCCCACTTTTTAAGGGGCTTAAACCTACCTGAACCCTTTCCATGGAAAAGGAGTAGGTGATAGCAGCCCCAGGAAGGCTGGAGGGGCTGGTCCAGGAGGAAATCTCCTGCCCAACCATCCTGAAACCAGCAGAAACTGGCTGGTAGGATGGGGTGGATTCCCTTGGCTGGTCTCCCCGCTCACACGCGGAATGGAGAGGGACGGACGCAGGGTACTTACTAATCTCCGCGACATGGGCGTCTTGTCGTCCTCAGGGAGGTGCTGCTCAAGGGCCAGCACGATGCAGTTGGCAATGATGGTCGCCAGGATCATGTACTCGAAGGGAGTGGAGGGGAGTTAAGGAGCAGAGAAGTAGATGATCCCCAACCTGCCAGCCCGCTCCTGCCAACCCCTCATTTCACCTGCTTGTTAGCCACCACCACTGCTTTCCCCGCAGGACATGCACACCCACACCCCAGCTCTCACCTCCCGCTGCTGCCAGGCAGGAGAGTGAAGCCCACCTTGGTGCTGTTTGGAAACAAGGGGGGTCATGAGAACTGAGAGCCCCCAAGATCTCCCTCACTAGAGACCTGCTGAAGCTCATCACCTCCTTCGCTTTGCTGGGCTGTGAACTCTCTTGGAAGAGAGATGCTGCTTGTGGTATGAGCCCAAAAGACAGACAGAAGTATGAAGATGGACAACTAGGCTCTGACCACGTTGGGCTTCATCTGGAAAAGGGTTTGGCATGGTCCCTGGCAGTGTCAGAGAGGCTCTCCCCAGCATGGCATGCTGGTGGTTGGGGCTGGCATGTCCCTGCGTGCTATGGCCCTGCTGCTTGCCTTCTCTCTTCCATCATGAAGCAGCAGGAGATAGGGCTTGGAATAGGGGTGTCATGGGCAATCAGCTGTCCTGGTCCTAAAGCATCCCTGTGAGAAGGACTGCCTGTACAGCATGAGGAAGGCAGGGCATCCTGGTAGGTCCTGAGGAACCAACCCAGACCAGCTCACACTGTGCCCCATGTTGGTACAGTCGATATGCCCTGGGAACAGGACCTGGTCAGACCCTTCAGAGCCTCCTAAATCCTACAGCTTGCACACCTTCTTTAGGAGCAACGCTGCACCAGGACAAGTGGCAGCAGATGCTGGCATCAGAGGACCTGAGTGAGTGAGGAAGGGTGGTGGAGGAAAGGGCAGGCTGACCCCCAGGAGAGCACCCCAAACCCAGCTCCCTCCTGTCTTTTGACTCCTGGGGCCTGCCAGGAGCAAGGTGGGGGCACTGAGCTGCCTACTCCTGCCTGGCCCACTGCTAAGCCCCCAAAACAAAGCACTTACAAGTGACAGGACGGCCACATCTTTCCAACTTCCCACCCATCTTTACATCGTCACAATAAAAGCCCTGTTGTCCTCAATAACAAAACGAGGTGAGATTCATCAGCAGGCAGCACACCCATTCTCCACTTCCTCCATGCCAAAAATCCACAGCTATGCTACTGTCACCACTGGTGTCAGCGGCCACCCCAGGAGGGCACTGCCACCTTCCTGAGGCTCATGTCTGTGGAAGTGGGATGTGATCCCATCTGGGATTGGTTTGCCCATAAAGAAACCATCCTCGGTCCAGCCGTTCCAAGCCGGCACACGGAGCAGTGCCCCGGCTGAGCCCTTCCCCACCACACTAGGCTTCTCCAGACCCGTTTGCTTCAGAGTCACATCTCTCACACCAGGAGATGCCAAATGCCTATGCCATCTGCCCTGGGAAAAGGGATGATTTTCTCTTTCACAACATCGGCTTTTGGCCCACAAAGCCGCTGACTACAGCGAAACACTTCAAACCGGTGGCCCCAAGCCCATGGGCAAGAGAAGACATCTCAGTGCTCACCACAAGCATGGGAAACTGGAAACCATGAATTAACCCTGGTGGCAGTGACCTCATGCACGCTGCAGCTTGCGGGCAAGGTGGGAGCAGGGCTGGGCGTCGGAGCAGGTCCCCGGAGCACTGGCCAGGAGGGCCAGCCAAGAAGAGCCCTGCGGGACCTGGGATGTATTCAGCCCGGGAGGGAAAAGAGCCAGGAAAGATTCAGCCAAAGCATTTAAAAGGCCACTCAGTGAAATTAATGGTTGCTAAGTTAAAAGCAAACCAAAAGAGAGACTGCTGCAGAGCTCACCGCCGCGGGCTCGGACCTTGGTGCCAGCCGGGCATGAATCACGAGCAGCTCCCTGCCCTCAGGGGGGAGGCCAGACCCCAAAACTTTTCCTCCGAGGCTTAACTCAAGTGAGGATTTCATTGCACGGCTCCTGCAAAAGCCACGTACTTTCCCAGCTTCCCACCCCTGGCCGCACGCTTCAGCTGATATGCCGACCACAGTGCTTGGCCCCAAGCCACCGGCCTCTTTGGGGTCTTTTTGTTTCATTTTCCTGAAAGTCTGCGAGCAATTAGCACAGGCTTAAAAGAAAACAGTGTGTTAGCGGGGCGGTGCAGCCATCTCCCCAGGCACCAGGCACATTTGCCTAGATGAGAAGTGTGGGAACGGCATGGTGAGTCCCTCTGTCCGCCCAGGCACGGCTAACCCAGCCGAGCATCCCGCTCTTCTCCCCACTGCGCCGGGCGTCTGCGGCCACTGGTCCCACGGGGCAAAACACACGGAGGGGAAAAACCCAACTTCTCCAAAGCCAGCAGCGTGGGAGCCCTGCCCAGCAGTGGCTTGGGGGCTCAGGACCACCTCTCATGGCTCAGCTCGCCCCTATATTGCCTTGCTGGCTCCAACATCTGGCTCAACAGCACAAGGGCAGTGCACATCTGTCACAGCCCCAGCACGGGACCGCGTCCCCGCTCCACCTCTGGTGAGCGCATGGCACATGGGTCAGCAGACACCAAGTTTAAGGGCAACAGGTCAATCGCTGCCCTAAGCAGTGACCTAAGCATAAGGTCGCTGGCAAAAGTGACTGCAAACTCCACTGCCCCAGTTTTCTGAGGACCCGAGCCTGGGTTATCGCATCTGGAGCTGGGTGTGAGCTGCAAGGCATCAGCCACACAGAAACAAGCCCCCGTAGCTCCAGCTGTGCCAGGTTTTGAGCGGTCAAGGGTAAGAAAACCCTCCCTAGGGGAAATTTGATCCACACACTTCACCTCTGCCAAGCAAGCATCCTCCCAGCTCAGCGCTGGAGCCCACTGGACAATGCTCTATTGCTCCTTTGTTTTCCCTCTCATTAGATGTCTAATTACATGACCTTCTGGCCACCCAAAATGCACAGTAGCACTTGCCTCCCTCCAAGCCCAGTAATGAAAGTCCGTCTCCCTCCAGCTTCTCCTCCTCCTTCGTCTGGCTTCTCCTGGAGGATCATTAGGGAGCCGATAAAAATAGGTTTTCTTATTGATTTATCTCCTTTACCCAACGCTCTCTCCCCTGCACCGTTGACTTGTTTCCTTAGCAACTCAGCCAATCCCAGTGCACACCACACCTGCAGCTCCACTCTTCCTTCCCAGTGCATTTGAGGTGGGGAAGGTGCTCCCAGGCCATATGGACCCCCTCTAGACCCATATCCCAGCCCACTGGGAGCAGGCACTGTGAGCAAACCCCATGCCTGGAGCTGGAGCTCCTTGGTGGGTCTAGTAGGAGGTGGTGGGGAGAACCAGGGAGATGTCCAGCCACTGGTAGATCCTTGCTTCCAGCTGTGACTCCCCTCTTCACCTCCCTCCTCGACCGGGACCCCAAACCAGTCCACCCAGAACACCTATATTGCTAACACAGGGAGCGTGCCCAGATCCAGGCCCTAAAGACAGATTTGTGGTGCTGATGGCACACTGATACAACCTCCTCAAGAGGCTGAGTGCAAGGTAAATCCCTCCCCAGATGCGGGCAAGGGCTGGGAGCTAAGGAAAACCCGCCACCATCTCTCCACTTTGGTAACCATGCCTTCTCCCCACTCCTGGGCAGGCAGGTGGAGCAGAAGAGCCAGAGGAGAAAGGCCACGTGGGCATCTCCAAAAGGGCTCTTGAGGAAGCCTACCTCAGAAGGTCAGCAAGAAGGGCAAGAACAATTTAACCCCTCACCCTGCCTCCATCACCCACCTCAGCTCCAACACCTCCTAGAAAATTAAGTCTCCATTTCCCACCGCTCCCCAGGCTTCCCCCAGGACCTGCTGCACTGAGGGCCTTTCCCTGCTCCCCAGGTGTCAATGAGAGAGTGCTTCGGTTCCTACATCCATGGACTTCATCTTGCTGGTCCCAACCCCACCACTGCTGCCTGTCCCACACAGACACAGCGTGATGGGAACAGAGATCGACCTCTCCTCAACATCATCATCCCTAGGACAGCCTGAACCCTGCTCTCAGCTCCAAACCCCAGCAGGAAAGCAAGCACCTCCTCTCCGAGGCTGTTTTCCATGAGAAACCCAAAATGTCCAACAGAGCAAAGACTATGAATAGTCCTAATTCAACTCTGGGGTTCCCCAGCCCTAGAGCACCTCCCTGGCTTTTTCCCGAGGACACGGGGGATCCTCCCCAGGAGATAAGGCTATCCAGCTGTAGAGCCATGGCCCTTCGTGGCTGTCCCCATCCCTGCGCCCTGCCACCCAGCGCTCCCAGCCCGTCTGGGCTTTGCTGGGGTTGACAGCAAGCAATGTCCAGAGGGACAAGGTGCCGACAGACCCCAAATCCTCCCACCACGCTTTGAGCATGAGCCAACTCCTGCATGCCCATCACGCACAGCAAAACAGGCTCAGGAGAGCGAGCGTGGGCTCGGGGTTGCGCTTGCGTCTCCGCACAGCTGGCAGGGAGCACCCAGACAAGGTGCTCGGCCTGCCTAAATCTCACTGCTTACGACTCCAAAACGTGGTGGTCTGGTCTCTGCCAGGGGCTCAACCGCAGGCAGTGCCAGCCAGGAGCTGGTCAGGGCAGAGCTGCCCCGCGGTCCGGTGGGGGGTGGGGCGGGCTGCCTGCCACGTGCAATCAGCTCCACGGAGAAGCTTCTCCTTCTCCCCCACCTCACCCTGCGCTCAAAAACTGGAAATCAAATCTCTCTCCTCTTTTTTAATTTTTTTTTTAAACAAAAAAGAACCACATCATGTGATTTTCCTGCCTTAACATCAGTTTTTTAACTTTGGTTGCCACAGCAACAGGATGCAACTTGGCGTCACCATGGCAACAGCTGCCTCTGTTTAAATTCACCATCTGACAGGCAGCCTCGCTCGCTCCGGCTGTCAAAAAGATGGACCTGCCATTACACCTACTCGCCCATCCCTCAAAAAAAAAA